CTGCAGGGTCTTGACTACTGACGGGGGTGTAGGACGACAAAAGGCTCCCTAAACTCGACGACAACACCAGAACTCCAAACAGAAAAGCTGCCTTAAAGCTCTAATCACGGTCCGAGAGCCTCGCATCGTCCCATGGAAAACTTCTGACGATCACTTCAAAAAGCGGGAAGGACTAGTAACTCTACGCGAGAGCAGGCACGATTTGTGCCCCTGCTTCAGGCCACCCACTTGCTTCTTCTACGGTAAACCCAATCCGAACCAAACCAGGTAGTAGTAGTAGTAGTAGTAGTAGTAGTAGTAGTAGTAGTAGTAGTACTAGTACTAGTAGTAGCAGTAGCGGTAGCAGTAGCAGTAGCTGTAACAGCAGCAGCAGTACTAGTTACTAGTAGTAGTAGCAGCCGCAGCCAGTAGAACGAAAAAATATCGACTCTTGCAGCTCATTTTATATACTCAAAAACGTACGAAACTGTAGGTACACCGAGGGGACAACAGACCCAAGGGAAAACTCACAGGGGCTTCTGCGACTTTACAAACCCTGAACTGGACTGGCCTTGAAGCCATCTAAAGCAGTTTCCTGCAGCGGTTCCGCCTCCTGGCAGGGCTTTCGGCACGAGGTTGGCTCAGGGTTCGGACTCTCACGGCCTAGCACCGTTGGAGGCTCTTGCAGGTTTGGGTTTGCAGTCTAAGCCAGAATATGCAGCATCGACAGACAGCTCTCTGTTTGGACGTCAGCTTCGGATGAGGCGGAGCGGCAAGTCCCTGTCAAGCTCACTGTCACAACCTCGCGCCTCCTGTACAAAACTGCAAATATCGAATGAGATGTGACCAAAGCATGCTGTACATTGCAAGGACATGTGATACAGCAAGTGCCCAAGCCATCACCAGGAGGGCATGCAGCCGCGCTGGATAACGAGTAATTAGCTTACTAGGAAAGCAGAAATGCCACCGTCGTGCTAGCAAACACTGTCCTTTGGGATCTTCTGTCCCATGCCTTGGCCTCGATACCGGCAATGCGCACACTCATTCCAAGAACTGAAGTCGCAGCTTCTGCTGCTCTCCGATCATGGGCCACGCACGCACGCACACCAGAGGGGCGTAAATGCAACCAAACAACTGAATCATGCATTTGGGGCCCGTGTCTGTACAGCACGTAAACTTAATTTCCCGCGAAGTGGCGTACACCCTTGTGGCAGTTCCCCAAAACGCCACTTCAAAGCTGAATCTCCACTGCGATCTCACAGCTGTTGGCATCACCGATGGAGCGCTTGAAGTCCCAATTCACGTCCTCCCCGTTCCGCAGCTGGCAACATGTCTTGTCACCGAAGTTGTGCTCGATTGGCTTTGCACCAATTTGCTTTCGTGCTCCTTCACCAATAGAGACGCAAGCAGTGACGCTGCCCGCACCGACAGGCACCTGAGACGAGCACTTGAGTTCGATGCTGCACCTGGCCCTCGACTTCTTGAAGCCAGCATTTTTGCCAGCGACCAACATCCGGAAAGTAAGGGGCTCTGGCTGACCCGGGAAGTGCAGGTGAAAGTCTGGGCTCAAAAGCCGCGCACAATTCGAACCAAACTTGGCAGCGTCCACACACCACCTCACGAGAACGCGGTCCTCTGAGAGCTGCATTGTCTCAAGAGTCCCCGGCTCGATGCTCGAGAACTTCTCTGTGGTCGAGGTAGGATTGGGCGAGCTCTTGCAGTCACACTGTGCTGGCGTCGGTGCCAGAGTTGCAAGCAAAAGCGCATCCCATTCCCATGGGTCGGGGGTCGCAGAATGCACCAATCGTGGCGTGGAAGTGGAGGAAGCCTTCGAGGGCAGCCATGGCTCTTCGGGTGACTCGTCGAGGCCTTGGCAGATTGTCTCCAGCTCCCAGAGGTCCGGCACATCGAAACGATTCAGTGTGCGGAGTGACTGCAGCTTTCGGATGCTCCTCACCATCAGCTCGCCAGGCTCGGAACAGTGCTCAATCGCCTCTTTCTCGGACTTTTGCGGGGCGACATCGTCTTGCATCTGAAGATCACAGAGCATCGCATCCCACTCCCACAGGTCCGGGGTCGCGGAGTGCAACAAGCGTGGCGTGGAAGCCGAGGCAGCCTTCGAGGGAAGCCAAGGCCCTTCAATCACCTCTTTCTCCGACTTTTGCCGGGCGAAGCCGTCTGAGAATGAACCACTCTCAGAACCTCCACAGACTGGTTCTACGATTTCAGGGAACTCCTCGAACTCATCTTCTGTTGTCGCAGGCACAGTCCGCGATCGCTGTCGGCGCTGGCGTGGGCAGGCCTCGGAAATCTGAAGGAAGGTGTTCACCACGGTCACATCGTGCTCCATAAGGGCCTTCTTCCATAGGGCCGACATCTCCATGGTGCACATGGGAACCTATCTGCCGAAAGCTTGAGAGATGTATGCACCTGGAGCCAAAGCCACGACATTCACGCGCAGCGAGCCTGTTGAGCCTGAGACTTCAGCTGTAGGTATATAATCGGGTCTGGATATGTTCTTCACGACAGACCCTCTCTCATCGAATCCAAAATACGCGATTTTCCTGCGTGCCATGCACTGTTCGCCTCTCTGCTGGTCTTCACACATTTCTGTACCCCACATCCACTGCAAGTTTGCGACCCCCTTGTACCTAGACTCTAGACTCTGACATGATTGGAGTTTCCAAACTACCGAGCAACATCCCATCATCCCATGCCGGCCTGTGCCTTTCCCAAGGCCTCCATGACAGCAGCCAGCCTCGGTGCAAACATTTCTTCCATCAATACCCATCAGGGATCGATGTATTCCTCGCACAGAGCAGGCAATTTGCAGCGTAAAGTCTGCACTTCTGTTTTGTTCAGAAGGTTCAAAAAACTCCTCTCAAGTTTGAAGAAGTGAATCCACCGTTGCTTGAAGCCTCAAGAATTTCAACTGCCTGGTTCTCACATTCCGAGAACTACTTTTTTGGTGCTGTTCTTGCTATCGCGACCCGCAAGTTTTTTCAGTCTTCGCAACTTTGAAGACACGAAGGCTGCCCATGCCCATCTTGACCGGTCATGGAGGTTCGCCGGGCCCTTCACACGACCGTTGCCCTCACATGAGCCATTCCCTTAACCGGTTTGAGCCAGAAGTTGAGCTGTACAACGCTCAAAGCCATCAAACCCTTATTCGGTTCCGGACGGTGGGATAATCCAAAGTGGCCAAAGTGTACTGACATTTCGAGAACTTTCCGGTGTCCTGAAGTTAGGAGTCGCTCGCGGCTTTTCTCGGTGCTGGTTGCGTGATACACGTGTTCGTGTTGTTGCATTCGGGATGCCCATGTCGGCTCGGCCTGGCCTTGTTTCTGGCTGGCACAGGGTTTCTATCCGACGAAGGAGGCCTCTCTCTCTCTCTCTCTCGGCATCCGCCGCTGTGCACCGGTCTGATAGCCACCGGTGAGCACTGAAACCGAAACAAACAGACCCACACCAACAACAGTTCTGCTGCATTCTTATCAAGGAAATTCTTAATTTCGAATCTTTGGGAACCGGGCCGGGTGCTTCATTAGGGAATGTTGCATTTCGGTCCAGGGAGTTGGGACTGCCAACAGTTTCTGATCGGTCTAAATGCAATGATCGACAAGAGATCCAGATGTTTTGCGATAATCAAGTGGCTAGATTCCGCGATGTGTCGAACAAGATGCGTCACGAAACAACGCTGACGCATCCATCTCACAACCGCATTTCTTGTTCCTCGCCAGGCTTTGTCCGTGATCAACAAAAGAATGCGCCCAGGGCCCAGGCTATACCTAAGCAAACCTCCACGGCCAAGCATTGTAACAATTCCGCTCCGGCCGGCCGTGTGCACGCACATGGCCGGATGATTCACATTCCGATGAGGTCAGGCCCCAGGTTTGCAACCCAGCAATCAGTACACGTCAGTAAAAGTCCCAGGCACAACTGAGAAGAGCCCCTGTTGAGCCACACTCTGCAAACAACCCTCGGCCTCTAAACTTCCAAGGGGCGATGACACGGCGCTTAGCGTCTCCGGATGCTGTGGACCCAGCTCGCCGGTGATGCCTCAGAGGATCTTACACAGACCTGGGCCATCTTAGGCCCCAGGTCACGAAACGTTCCTTTTGTGCTGCTTCTGCGACGCGAGACTCTTAGAGATGCCAATACAGGCAAGAGGCCTCTGACCACGCGCTGTAGAATTTGCTCCGCCTGCCCAGGCTGTGGGTTCTTGTGGGGATCTGCGGCTGAGAGCGGTTTCGGGATCTCTGTCATGAACTCACGTCAAGGCTTCAGGCTTGAAGAAAAGGAGGAAGAAGAACGCTGGGCAAGCATGTCAGCTGGTATCTCACTTGACTTCGGTGTTCTACTGCTTCGTAGAGTCTTACCGAGTTTGCGACGTTTTGAAGAAGACCACGAAACAACAAACAGCGAGCATGCTCAAAAGCACATACGCCCTGAGACTCCAACAAGACTCCGAGACAGAGCATGCCCAACTATCAGCACACATGCACACACGCGCACTCACACTGTTGGGAGCTGATTGGTGGCTGTATCCATGCAGCATTCACTGCAGTGGTCGGAGTGGTGCAACCGTGCATGTGGAAAAGACTGCTTATCTTGGTGCAATGGGGGACCACCGCCTGATCTGAGTAGGATATCAAATTCACAGAGTACACACACAGACTTGTCGATCACCCGGGGGCCGGGTGCACTACAGCCAATCTAGGACAGCAGAGTCACTAGAATGACCAGAACACCAGACTTGGTGGAGGTAGTCGAATTCACTGAAACACAGGCGTCATTGCGGTTTGCGGGCGTTAAATGGTTTGGTAGTCAGGAGCAGTGCGGTGCTGTCCTCTCGTGATACTCCTGCTGTCGAAGCTGAAGATGAGGTCTGACAATCCACAAGATGCATTCTCGCTACCCCAACCGGCGACGGAGCTCGGAACAACGAACAAGAGATCATAGCCAACGAACCAAGGGAGCGATCTTTGGAACTCGAGCTCCCACACGATGAAAGTACATCTGAGAGAGTCTGCACGGCCTCCTGGGCCTGCCCTCGCTGCTTGAGCACCAGAGCCAGCCGGTGTAGGCAGCTCCTCAGGCGAATAAACTTGCTCTCCAAGTCATTCCGGTCAGCTTCAGGGATCTCTAGGAGGTTTTTATGGGGCATGCTATCCGTATGACTGCTTCCATTTCGCAAACTGAACCGAAAATTTGGCCGTGGATCAAGGTATCGAGATGCCAGGAGCCCAGTTCGATGTCCAGGCCCGTCGCTGCGTTGCGGTAGAGCCGCCTGATTTCACCACGTGGCTACGGACGGAAATCAGGGCAGCAAAAAGCAAGAATTCGGAGGAGGGGGCCGAGGGAAATGGCACGGCAACTGCGCCGCTTCTTCCAAGCTGCTCGGCTTCCGCAAAGTCTCCCAGCGCTGCATCGATGGCAGCCTTGGCTTGACCCGTTGACCAATTAATGATCATATAAATAAGAACAACAGTAAGAGCAATAGAATCATGCTCTTAATAATAATGGTAATAATAATGCAAACGAAAGCAATACTAATAACAATAATCATAAGAATATGATGATGAACGTGTAAAGTGATTGAGCCGTTGCCTCTTCCGCCAAGGATCTATGATCAAGCAACTTGACGATGCATGTCCCTGCACCTTGTACATCCCCAGCAGGTTGACTGAGCATCATGTAGAGTGAACTGAAGTCTTGCAGACTTTGCACAAGCATTCGACGTGCCTGTTGAGTAAAAGGGACCCCCAATTCGAAGCCATGCAAGCCTGGTGATCTGTTCCACTCCGCTGATGTACACAACCAACCCGGAACACGACGCTCCACAGGTTATGAGCCCAAGCGTGGTGCTTGGAGCTACAAGCCAAGGCGGCATGGCAGGCCGTGGGCCGAACTATGGTGTCGTGGATACTGGTGGAGCCGGTGGTCCTGCACCAAGGGGAGGCGAAGGCCAGAATCGAACCATGGCTGAAGGGCAGGTTCTTCTGAATGGTGTGGTCGGAGATCAACGTCCGCTACATCCTGGACGAGGAGCTGTTCCGACGGGTTCTCAAGGCGCAGATCAACCAAGTGGAAGCCGGAACACAGGTGGGACCTCAGTGCCTGCGGTGGACCAGAGTGGGTTTTTACCGGCAACCGGATCGGGCGCGAGCGTTACGTCTGGACAGGGCGTATCTACAGGTGCCGATGTGGATCAAGGCACGGCCACTGGGTCGTCTGCCGGAGCTGCAATTGGAACGACGACGGAGGCTGCAACCGGACCCGGCGCGAACGTACGGAGGTTTCAGGGTGAAACTTTAGGTATACGTAACAGGCCAGGCCAGCAGCAGTCACAACCAGCAGCCCCTCAGCAGTATGACATCAGCACGCCGACGCAGCAGCCTCAAGCGACTCCTACCCTACCACTGCAGCCCATCACAACAACAGCATCCCAGCAAGCAAGCCGGACACATGCACCAGCAGCGGTGGAGACTGTGACCCACCTAGGATCCTCAACCCAGCTGCAGCCTCAGCCCAGGACCCCTGCAGCGCAGAACGTCGTCCTGGGTGGCCATGTTGGTGGTGATGCTCAGGCAGCAATGCAGCAGCTTGCGGAGCAGAGGAACGCCTTGGTGAACGCCTTGCATGCCAGGGCGGCAAGGGTTATTGGGAATTCGCAGTTGGAAGGAGTTGAGTTTACAACAGTAGAAGCTGGGGAGATTGTGGAGTCCTCGGGTGACCAAATGGTTTGGTTTTCCAGATTTCGTGGGATGCTTCAACGGGGTTTGGAGCGAATGAGACCCTTACTTGCACCCTCGCCTACGTCATGGTACTCAGAGTCCCCTACATGGTCTCTGGCTACTCCGACCTTCAACACGCCGGACGCCCAGCGACCTCTTGAGGCTCAGCACCGCACGATGGCACCTGTTCAGATGGAACCACATGGGGATCAATCGTCTACGGGATCCTTGCAGCCTGAAGTTGCACAGGAGGAAGTACGACGAGCGGTACAACAAGCAATGCAGACCAGGGACACCAAGATGAGTGACCTACAGTCGGAAAATGCGGAGCTGCGGCAGCTCCTGGTTGCGATGATGGATGCTACAGCGAGTGCGGGAGGAGTCAGCGGTGACAATGGGGCCACGGCAGGAACTGCACCGGGAACCTCTGTTGGACAGAGGGTGATCTATGGGCAGGCCGTCGGAACTTCACCACCGGGACAAGGGGATCCTCGTGCTCAAGAACCCGAAGGAGGCCAGCGTCTCCATGCTCCCCCGGGCCTACCAGTACCCCCTCGACGAGTTCCAGGTGATCATGGCGGGCAACCGGGCGACCAAGTGCCGAAACCCAAGGGAACCAGCCCACCGAGGACCAATCTTGATGACGGCAACGGTGACCATGTTGCAGGAAAGTCTAAGGAGGTCCCCGGCGTCACCGTGAACGAAAGGGGAACGGCTGGGATTCAAGGGGTCGATGGATCTCCTGGCGCAGGGCATACAACAGCTTCAGCAGCTTCAGCTCAAGAAGGACTTCCAGGATCCCGAGCTGCTGAAGGGGAACATCATCCTGGAACTGGCGAAAATGGCGTACTACAAGTTCCAGTCCGAGACGCCGTTGAAGCGCCTCTCCGTCGTGTGGGCGAGGACGAAACGGTGGATGGGGAGAAGTGGGCCAGGCTGGAGAAGCGGGTGATGGCCCTGCTTCTGGCTACCATGAGCCAGTCCATCAAGGCTGAGATCACGATGCTGAGGATCGACAAGGTCAAGAACTGCCTCTTCAAGCTCTTCACAATCTATGCCCCAGGAGGTGCGAGTGAAAGGGCTAGTTTGATCAAGCAGCTCGAGTACATCCAGCCGCAGAGCAACATCGTGGAGATGATCGCCTCGCTGCACAAATGGAAGAAGTTGGTGGGCCGGGCAGCCGAGATGGGTGTTTCCCTTCCGGACGGAAGCGTGCTCCTTTTGCGGTGGAGAACGCCACCAGGAATTTTTTGACTGAGAACAACAAGGACGTCAACTTCAAGCTGAACATGGCTAAAAGTGAGCTAGGACTGCCCTACAAGCCGGCCTTGTCTGCGGTGCTCACGTACGCGGACCACGTCATCGCGGAGCGCCAGCAGGTGATTCCCTTCAGCAACCAGACTGTCAAGCTGAAGGGTGCCAATGTGGATCCGGGATCGCCGTCATCCTCGGCGTCACCTACTGGGAAGGGGCAAGGGCAGAAGCAACAGCCCCCATGCAAGTTCTGGTCCACGGATGAAGGATGCCGCCGCGGAGCCAACTGCAAGTTTACCCATGCTTTTGCCAACAAGGAAGATAAGAAGGCCCGGCGTTGGACATGCGGAGCTACAACCCACAGGCAAGCTGATTGTCCGACGAAGAGTGGGGGAAAGCGCGGAGGCAAGGGCGGGAGTGAGAAACGGTCCCAAGGCGAGCCTACGACATCTACTACAACGGCATCGCAATTGGCTTCCCTGAACAACCCCGTGCCCTCAACGACGCAGGTCCCCACGCCGTCTACATCAGCTACGTCAACGCTGGAGCACCCTTTGAGGGCAGCGGTGTCTACGGCAACCTCGACCTCGGTCCCTACTACCATCGACCCCATGCTCACTCAGCAAACCGCTTCGAGTGGTACCTCGTCGGCTGCGTCAACCGTCCTTTTCCAGGAACAGGCGAACACAGTTCTTAGCGAAGATTAAGCGCAAGCTCAGACTGACAACGCGGTGATGGACCTGGAATTATTGCTCAGGTCTCAGGGATTCAGCGAGGCCCAGGGGATGGCACTTCTCGATTCAGGTGCCTCCCACCCTTTTCGAGTTCCGAAATCGCTGGAAGAGAAAGCCTCCTCGCGGAGGGTTCAGGCGCAGCTTGCGGACGGGAAGACCATCTCGCTGAGACAGAACAGCGGTGGCACACTGCTCGCTGAAAATGAGCAGGGTGGCACAATCTTGCCGCTGGGGTGTTTGGTAAGCTCCCTGGGGTGTGAACTCCAGTGGTCAAGAAAACGTGGGTTGCAAGTCCGCCATCCACGTCACGGACTCCTCCCCACGAAACTCGTGGGCAACACGCCTGTAGGAAGTGGAGCTCCAGAAGCTCAAGGGCCAGACCACTGAGGGAGCAATCAAGACGTTGAGGACAGATGAAAGCCCGACAACGTGGCTGGACCACTTGGAGGAGTATGTGGGCCACTGGTGAGCGGGCAAGCCTACGGCGAATGCTCATGGATGATGAGGCACCCGTCAAGGCGACAACGGAGACCGAGGTAGCGTCCCTGGTGGGAGTAGACGAGAAGATCCTGTTGTCAGATGAGGCGGGCGCCTACTACCTGAAGTCTCTCCCCTACAACCGGGCCATGCGCAAGCGACTGTTGAGGACGAGGTGGATAGTCCATTTGTACAATGGTGATGAGCGAGGAGCAGAATTCACCCATGCGGAGTCCGACGACGTCACGGTGGCGCGAATGGACATTAGGGGGTCCAAGATCTTCGATCTTCGAACGTACGGGCCCGCAGCGCGGGCTCTTCTATCGGCAGCGGCCCGGGGACAAATCGAAGGCGTACTTGGCGGCCCACCTCGGGGCTCAGAGCATGGGACGATGTTGTTCAAGAGGTTGATGCTGACGTGGCTGGTGGCCAACTCTGGCGCGGTCCGGAACGCTCTGTGTGCTCCTCACTTTACGATGGAGGCCCCGACCTGGCACCCAATCTGGACGAGCAGTGCCTGGCCGAGCTTTCGGGACGAGCTTCGCTTTATGAAGTACCACTCTGTGGCGGTACAAGGCAACATGTACTTCTTGGCTTCAAGCTTGGAGGTGTCCCAGGGGATGGACATCGAGGAGGCGGCAATCATTTCTCTCAACTATGGCACCCCGGATTCCTCATGGCCCACAGCTCTGAAGGCAGGATTGGCCCAGTCAATGCTGAACTGGCGTCCAAACGACCTACAGCGACATGAAGTCACGCTTTGCAAGGTTGTGGGATCACGGGATCTCAATGCCAAGGATTTGGCCTACTGGCAGACGCACATCAAGAACAACCACGTTCCCTACGACAAGAGGTGCCGCACGTGTGTGCGCGCAAGCGCCACTGGCCGAGCCCACCGACGGTGTCTTACTCCAAGCTCCTACACCCTGTCCTGGGTCCTTGGACATCTGCGGCCCCATGCGTACTCGGGGGGAGTCACCGGATGGAGGACGGTTCAGGTACCTCCTGGTCGGGGCCTACTGCCATCCTAAGCTCGATCTACCACGTGACGTGAAGCTCCCTCCGGTTGAGGAGGAGGAGATTGTTGAGCCCGGGCTGGACCCTTTCGAGGAGGAGGATAAGGAGCCTCGCCCGGAGGAAGCGGATGATGAGGAACAGAAGGCGATGAACGAGCGCTACAAGGAGATCTACAAGGACATTGGCGATGACATTGAGTGTCAAACACTGCATTTCTGGCTACGAGGACTTCGAAGGAAGTGCGGGCCAAGATCCAACAGATTTACCTACAGTTGCCACAACATTAACATGGGTTGCCTTTGGTCCGCATCCACTCGGACAGAGGCCTCGAACTCAAGGCCAAGGAGATGGCTGACCGTGACATCCTCGCCACAACTGGTGAGAGTCAGCAGCCGCAACAGAATGGACGAGCCGAAGCGCTGGTACGGGATATCAAGCGCAGAGTGAAGGTTCTTCTAAGGGCAGCTCACTTGCCAGCATCCTGCTGGCCCTTGGCGGCAGAGTTTGCGGCCCGAAGACAGCGAGACCTCGCTTTGGGAAACTACGAGGACAAGGACCTCTCCTTTGGTGCTCCCACCCACGTGAAGCACAAGCAGTTTGGCCAGGATGGCCGGTACGATTTACTCGAACGCTGGCGTGAGGGAGTCTTTGTGGGATACTCCAACGATGTGAAGGGTGGAAGAGTAGTCCGTCATGAGGATGGGACCTACACGACTTCGGTCCACATCAAGCCCTACCTGTTCGATCCTGGTGATCTGGTGGAGTTTGGGCCCTACGAAATGGAACTACCAGTGCCTGAACGCCGAGTTCGAGGGAAGGCCACATTGGCGCAGCTTCTACGGGAACCCGACAACGATATCGACAGGCTCGCCAAGGACCTCCTGGACCACCAGAAGTTCACCTTGGAAGATGTGGTTGGATTGTGGAGTGTTCTACGAACGAAGGCGAGGCCAACATCAAGGACGAGTCAGGGCGAAGGACTTCAATGGTTGGTAGGCCAGTACACATACGGGAGCCAATGTGGAGTTGTGCGGGACACGGACCTCTATCTGGTTGCGACTACGTACTTGGTACAGGCTTTCAAGAAGTTGACAGGCCGTGGTGATTTCACCTCACTGTTGATCACGGAGGATGTGGGGATGAGTTGCCATCGCGATGTACACAACAATGGCCAGCGCAACAATCTACTTCTTCCTCTACTACAATGCGACAGCGGAGGTGGAGTCTGGGCCGAGTCACACCCCCAGGACTACGACTACGCCGATGAGTGGAAGGAACTTCCTAAGGGTGGATGGCCGCGGGCGAGTTCATGAACTACAGAAGGGTGTTCCCATCGAGATCAACCCGAAGATGTACCACGCCACCGAGCCATGGACAGAAGCGATTGGTCATGACAACTTATACCCCGAGAACTACAAGGATGACCCAATCGACCTACGACATCCTCTGCAACTACGGTTTCCAACCTCCTCCACTACCACCACAGGTTCCAGACGAGCTCCAAAGGGCTGTCCTGAAGATGATGACTATGGGCGATCAAAGGGAGCCGGATGCTGTGATGTTTCTTGTCAATGAGGTTGAGGAGGAGAAGCGCGAAAGGGCACGGGATGTAAGTCGAGAACTATGCCAACTACAAGATGATGTTCTCACGAGACTGCGCGAGAGGCAGGAATGGTTGAAGGAGTTCCTGGCCGAGGAGGAGATCCTGGCCGAGGAGCTACAGGTTGTCGGGGAGGCAATCAACGAGGAAATTGAGGGCATCAATGGCGCGGTCCGAGATCTACTTCAAGATGTGGAGGAGAAGATCAAGCTCACGGAGGAGAAGTGCCACTCCCTCTACCTCAAGGTTGCCAACGTCACGGATGAAACCAACATTGGTGATATTGAGGAGCACCTCGCCAATTTGAGGAAGGACCTGGATGTTACTTTGGATGTCAGGTGAAGGCGAATTTGGACAAGTGGGTCGAGCCGATGAGTAAGGAGCTGTCCAACCTCGAGGAGAAGACAAGCGCCATAGAGCGGAAGACTATCCACGAGGCCCGTCAGATGGAACGGGATGGTCTTCTTGTGTTGATACCTGGCAAGGTGGTGTTCACGGTGAAGCCACCGCCACCCCTCACTGAGGCCGAACAAAACAAGTCCAGGACACCGCGATGGAAACGTAAGGCCAGGGTCGCTATTTGTGGCAATATGGCTCACCAGAAGCATGACCCCAACGACCTTTTTGCTGCCGGGGCAAGTGTGGAAGGCTTGCGCCTTGGTTTGGCCCTGGCATCAGCGAGGCTGTGGATTGCAGCGGCTACGGACGTGAGCGCGGCATTTCTACAGGCTTTGTGGCCGGAGGGACGACCAACCTATGGCGTATTGCCACCTAAGGCCTTAGTCCAAGCAGGCTTGGTCTCGGCGAATGTCGTGTTCATCGTGAAGAAGGCTCTGTACGGGTTGAGAGAGAGCCCGGCTTTGTGGTCGGCCCACAGAACCAACACCCTGAAAAGGATCAAGGTGAAGTGTGGCGATGGTTTCATGTGGCTGAAGCAGCTGGCGACGGATGGCGAGTTGTGGATGGTGTTGTGGACTCCCACCGGGGGCAAAGCGCAGTTGGTGGGACTTTTGGTGACCTACGTTTTGTATCTCAAGGATACAATCCTCCGACTACACGAGGTGATCGGTGCTACATGGCCCTGCTCGCCTTTGGAGTTCGCAACGGAGGGCTTGCGCTATCTTGGGATGGAATTGTTTCAGGAGGAGGCGGTGATCACCTTGGGTCAGGAAGCCTACATCTCCAACCTTGTTCGGTTGCATAACTTGGACTCCGAGGTGTCGGCTGGTTTGCCATGTCCCCGTGAATGGATTCAAGATGATGATGACGATGGGGACGACGTGGCCGAGAACTACAGCGATGACGAGCTAAGAAAAGCTCAGAAGATCACAGGCGAATGCCTGTGGTGGCCTATCGCACAAGGCCTGACATCCTGTACGTCACGAACTACATGGCGTCGATGACCTCCAAACGGCCTGTGAAGGTTCACCAAGTTGGACTAAGGGTGATCTCCTACCTGAACGCTACCAAGACCTTTGAAGCTGAAGGCTGAGGCCGAAGCAGAGATCACACAAGCCGCAACAGAGATCACACAAGCCACAGCAGAGATCACACAAGCCACAGCTGGTCATGAGGCAGGTTTCAGGGTGGGGTTGTCTGGTTTCAGTGACGCGTCGTTCGCGCCATACGGCGGGAAAAGCTTCGGCTGCAGTCTGGTGATGGTGGGCAAGACTCCTGTAACGTGGAAGGCAGGCAAGCAACCGATGGTGGCAATGTCTGTGTGCGAGGCAGAACTAATGGAAGGTTCCAATTGTGCGTTGCTTTTGGAGTCTGCGCAGGCGATGCTACAGGAGGTCCTACCAACTACAGCGGTCCCCGTTCTCAACGTCGACAACCAGGCCGCATGTAATATCCTGACGGGATCTGTTGGGAGCTGGAGGACCCGGCATTTGCGCGTTCGTCATGTTTATGTGCTGGACAGAGTGAGTAATGGTTGCCTGACGATCCAGCATTTGGCTGGGGAAGATCAACCTGCAGACTTGCCTACGAAGTTACACTCCAGAGCACGACTGCTGCACCTCCTGGGAACATGGGGCATGGTGGGATTACCGGGCCTTGACAAGGCGAAGGTCCTGAAAGGGCTAAAGTTGGGCTGTATGTTCCTCCTGCTCCTGGCTATTCAATCTTTGGCGGTGTCAGCTGCGAAGGACCCTTTACCGATGACGGGGACGACGGAGTTGTTCCTAATGGTGGTCCTGACTTGTATTTCCACAGTTGCTCTCTGGGAAACTGGAAGGGCACTTGGCAAGTGGCTTCTACCGATCTGTTGCGAGACAAGGAAGATGACGAAGATTCGCAAGCTCAAGGAGCTTGCTCGAGTCGCGGCGGAAGCGGAGGTGGACAAATGGGTGGATTTGGATGTGGACCCTTCAGCCGAGCGGATTTCCACGACAGTGAGGGAGCGTGTCGCACGGGGATCGACGAGTTCTACTTCATCAATAAGGAGACCGTCGACAGCGAGGCCCAGATCACCATCGACAACGAGGCCCAGATCACCGTCGACAACGAGACCCAGATCACCGTCACCAACGAGGCTCAGATCACTGTCAATGATGAGGCGCAGATCAGTGTCACCAATGAGAAGGGGTATGACGTCTCCCGTAACAACACCTCCAAGGCCTACGGCACCGATGAATGCAAGTGGCACAAGGACCAGCATTTTTGGGAAGGTTCGACCTCCTACACTTCCGGTGCAACATGCGACACCGAGGATCCCACCTAGCCCTGAACAACATGAACGCGAAAGGGTCAAGAAGGACACCCTGGGGCTGATGACGGTCCAGCACTTGAAGGACGGATTGGTGGCAGAGGGCCTTCCAGTGAGTGACAGGGATCAAGTGCGACTTGATCCGCCGGTTGGCTGAGCAGCTAGGAGGAGAGCCTCCACCAGATTATTTGCCAACGACCCGGCAGCTACGCTATGTCCTCTACACTTGGCGGCATCACCAGCTATCGGGCCGTGCGCAGATCCTTTGGACGGATCTAGCAACCCGTGTAGCTATTTCGGACTGGCTAGCAAGATGGGCAAGGAAGAGCTGACGGCACGATGTGTGTGACGTGAGCCGCAGGCTTCCGTCAAGGAGGAGTGATGATGAACGTGTAAAGTGATTGAGCCGTTGCCTCTTCCGCCAAGGATCTATGATCAAGCAACTTGACGATGCATGTCCCTGCACCTTGTACATCCCCAGCAGGTTGACTGAGCATCATGTAGAGTGAACTGAAGTCTTGCAGACTTTGCACAAGCATTCGACGTGCCTGTTGAGTAAAAGGGACCCCCAATTCGAAGCCATGCAAACCTGGTGATCTGTTCCACTCCGCTGATGTACACAACCAACCCGGAACACGACGCTCCACAGAATAATACTCATAACAATAAAAACATAACAATACCAAGAGTACGCATAATACAAATGATACAAGTTAATACAAACAACACAAGTAATACAAGTAATCAAATAATACCAATAATAACAATAACAATAGCAATAACAATGACGGCAACAACGCTAGCAATAATAACAATAATACAGTAATAGCAATAAGAATAACAATAGTCATCACAACAATAATAGCAATAATAATCGTAACTATACTAATAATAATGTTAGCAAGAACTTTTGTAATAATCATCACCATTATCATCTTAGAAATAACTGTTAACAATACCCATTATATTACGTAATGATAACTATACATATAACAGTAAACACTAATAATCAATATTAATGCTTTTTGGCTCCCGCATCGCAGCACGAGATCACTCGAAACTACATGGCAGGTGACATGCCAGATACAAGATCTCACGACATACCCGCAATGAGAAAACAGTTCAAAACACTCTGCGATCGTCGTACGTGAAATTCAGCAAGGCTTCCCTCAAATTCAGGAGCAGACCTAGCAACAACAAGAAAATCACAGCGCAATAACAATGACAATCATCATAACATAAGAAGAAGAAGGAGAAAGAAGAATAACCATCATAATAATACGAAAATGGTATTGATTCTTTGTCACCTACCTGGCACGTCGTCGACAGCACTGCAGCGTCTTGACTACTGACGAGAGGCGGTGGAAAGCAGTTGCGCACATCAAACAAACCAAATGGTATTGATAATAAGAATAATAATAGCAAACATGAGAGTAACACTCACAATAACGATGACAATATTATAACAGCAATATTAAGACTAATCCTATAAGAGCAATAACAAGAAGAAGAACTATGATAACTTGCAGCCATGAAGCGAGGTTGCAGGCTGTGCGCAAAGCGTCCGGATGGTTATGACCTTCAGGTTCTCTGAACGCAACAAGCGAGGAGCCTCTATCGAGGAGAGCTTCATTGCAGCCCGCTTTCTTACTGTCCGAGACCTTTGTGCATGAAACCTCGAGGCTGCAATTATCACAAACAAGCTTTGGCCCTCAGAATCCAAGCTTCAGGCCCACCCGATTCTCCAGCGCCTGTGGCGGCTAACGGAGTGACAGCTTTCGGTGTCTTGCGGAGCCTCAGACCTTTTCAGACACCGCCTGCGGTTAAGAGTTCTCAGCTCACGTCTGTTCCATCCGACGAGGAGCCACCAGTTTGGACCCTGTAAGCTGGGGGTATCCTGCAAAGTTGTGGGGCACAGCCTTCTGTTGGGCACCACTCGGAAAAAGGCAAAATCCATCACATATCCCACGGCGGCCTGCAGGCAGTTTCGGTACAAGGGCTCTGCCTCTTGCAATCGCCCCTGGTCGAGGGAGGAGCTTGTTGCAGAGGTTTCTGGGAAACTCATCGACTGGCTGAGGGTTTAGAGTAATGAGTAATGAACCAGCAGAAGGCCATCGAGTTGGTGTGCACCCTCAAAACTACAGATTCACCCCATCTGCTCGCTCACCACTTGCAATTTCTAACCCGAGTGAATTTCGCCGCAAGTGCCGGGAAACCGACCACCTTGGCAGCTCGACTGCTTTACTTCCGCTGCTGGCTCCTACTCAACTACAGCAAGCTCCAATTCGCAGGTGAAGAGTTCCGAGGGCCTGCGCCACAATCAGAGCCGCCAGGTCCTGGACTCGTCGGGGTTTGGGCTAACCTTCCCCTAGCGGAAGAGCAGTTTGACCATATTTTGCTGTTGGAGCTTGGGAGGTTGTTCTTCTCGCAGCCACGGGGCATTGTTCGCCACCAGGGTCTCTGGATGGTCGTTGCCAAGCGCGCTCTGCCGTGCCTGGCAGGAATGCAGGCGGTGCTTGGCGGGGGTCAGTTCGACTCTCCGGCCGCGGTTGCGGTTGGGGCTTCCAAAGAGTACCCTTGCAGGGCCACTCTCCTCGAGGATGCGCCGCAGCCGCTGCTCGCTTTTGGCCGCGGCGAGCTGGAGGCACCTGCAGTAGGCCGTGGATGCCCGACATCCCTAGGCATTGGGCCGACCTTTGATGCACAAGCTAGGGCTGGAGGGCAAGGGCAAGCTTCTAATCCCCCACGAAGTTTGCAGAGCCAGGCGCGCAACTTCGTCTGGGCAGACAATCCTCGAGGCAAGAGACAATCGAAAGTGCACGTTCACAGGGGCAATAGGTCCTAGGTGGCTCGCTCGGAGAAAGAGGGCCGTTGACAGGCCAAGACAACGGACCCACGAATGACACGGAAAAGTCCCTAAGAACCGAAGCAGGCCAGGCGTCGACCACCGCTGTGGTAAGGCAGCGCCCGCAGGGCTTATAGCCGTACCTCGTGCTAGTAACATACGCGGCCATCATCAAGGTGTCAGGCCGTGGAAGGTGCTTAGATGAGTGAGACCGTCGACTTCCAAGGTAACACAACGGAGCATCTGAGTGATGAGTTGTGCGCGCCTTGCGGCTCCTCAGAAGGCTTCTGTGGGCCCGCAAAAGGGAACCAAGCATGAGTTCTGACCGCAGAAGTCCGAACCACACCATCCGTTGGGCGAGAGCTTGGCCCAAGGCTTTACAGGTTTGGTGGCTTCAGCAACCCGTGCAGCCAAGATGCTGCTATCGGTGCGGCTGATCTCTGAGACCAGGTCCTGCCCGGAAGAATGTAACTTCAACCCAATACTGCTCTACTGTGTAAAGACGATGGCATACGATGGCAGATGGTTCCACCCACTGCTCAGCTGACTTAGCTATGACAGCTGTTGGCCACTGCAAAGAACGCGGCAAAACAGGCCCACCGCTACGTGTGGGGACAGTATAAGACGAAAGAAACCCCACAAAAGCCAAGTCTACAGGCCCAAAATTTTCAAAGACGCTTTCAGCTCGGAGCCTTCGGGACCAGGATGGGAACGCAATACCGTGCCCGAGTTCCCCTTGGCCATCAGATCGCTGGTGTGACTGCTGCATTAACTTCATCGTCACGCGAGCACAAGAGCGATCATGGCACGCGGGGGGATGATGGTCCATGTGGAGAAATGCTTGGCCAACGCTGTAAAGCTAGCAACAAAAGCTCACCATTTGAGACAGGTCGGAGGAAAGTTGCCGAGACCAGCAAGCACAGAAATACATTTAGACTGAAGAAACTCGAAGTGCCAGTGCCGTGGTTCCTTGCAGCACCGGGGCGGGGTCCCACTGCTGGCGGTGCTTCGCACGGCCGAGTTTCCGGTTGCAGCTGAGTTGAGCGATGCCACTGCCTCAGTCTTGTTGCTCATGGTCTTACAGTAGGTGAAAGAGAATCTTGCGTTGTTTGCAACTTGCAGGAGGGTGGCAGAACCCTGAGCCCGGGCTTTCCTGCAACAGAGTGGAACAAAGCCGTCTGAGCAGACAATCGCAGCGCAGGGCTAACGACACTGCATGGAGTTTATCTCTCTTCTTCAATGACCGGGCCCAAACAAGTCTTCAACGATAGACCAAAATTCAAAGCCAAAAGGTTAAGTTCTGCCGCTTGCTATCTAAGGTATGGAGTGTGACACCTGAGGCGACGGGCCAAAGAAGCGCATACGGTGCCGGGTCGTGCCAAAGAGAGTCGGGGACTCCATGACGCAACTCTACCGCCACAGTGTGTTTGGCCTTTCTCTGGGGAGAAGATCGCGAATTATAACGGAAGGTCTGTTTTGATCGTGCGTGCTGCCCACACTTCTCGGCGGAGGTGTTGGGCTCATCGACGGTGACAAGCCGAATTTAGGTCAACAGCTGCGACAAGCTTTCCTTCCTAGGCACCTGCACCATTTGCTTCTTTCCCAATTGGTCCGGCTCCTTCGCGATTGCGTGCACGCCACCTTATCTGACAAAGCTGCCATCATTCGCCACACCTCACTCGCAAATCCACAACACCCCCGTCTCAACATCTTCAACAAAACAGCAGTCGCCGATTCAAACATACATGTTCCACATAGAAGCAGCCCCAGCCCGCTATTGCATTGGGCATCACAGGATCATGTTCGGATGTGCCCAGCTCTCACCCGAGACTCTCACACCAAGGGGCCGTCTGGGGCCTTCAGCGCCGACCAGAGCTCAGGCGTGACGAAAGCAGCGTTGCAGATGGCATAGAAATTGCCCTTCGTCGTGTAGTGAAACCTTTGCTCGGTGACTTAGCCATGACGTGCCTGATCTGAGCACCGCTCAGAAGCATGTGACGGGCTCGTCTAGCGGGGTCCAGGGCCCCATCCCACATACCTAAGGACCTTCGCGCTTCTCCCTGCTGCCGGATGCACAGCAGCACCACTTCGTCGGCTCTGTACCGCGAGGATGCTATCTCCAAGGCTCGCCGCCAAACGAGGATTCCTTGTGTGACGAAAGGCAAAGTCGCTCTGAGATCCCAGAGGAAGCCGCTACATGACTACAGAGCAGTGCCAGCACAGTCGTACAGCCCACCCTTCCCTCCCATCTCTTTGCCGTATGCCCCGGCCTGTTCGCAGATGTTTGTACAAAGGAATCTGGGCTTGAACCTGCACCGCTTCTTCTTGCGCTTGGGCAGTCCAACAAGCCGTGCATACAAGGGTTGAAGTGTTCAAATATCGACGATGTCCGGTTAGAGTCCGGTCAGTCTTGCGGGAGTTAGCCGCGGCGAGTGTCGACAACTCCAGCTCATTGCGCAAGAACTCCTGACGCACGCCAAACTCCACATCCTCCTCACTCTCCAAATCCTCCTGAAATCGGAATACCCGTGTGGCTGACCGAATCCGCCCACCTCGAGGTTGTACTGCGTCTCCGCAGTGTTCATGTCGATGCCGTCGTTGTAGTCTTCCTTTTCGCTATGGCACCCGTCCCTACCCCAGACAACAACCCTCTAGTATCGCCTCCTGAACCAGAGACAAAGCTAGGACACCTGCCCAGGTCAAACCGACAATCTACAAAGTCGTGGGTGCGCTCGCAGACAAGGCTCCGAGAGGAAGTGCGATCGCAGGCAACCCTGGCAACAGATGCTTTGCAGCTGTCACAGCTGTGGTCAACTTCTCCCAGAGACGAGTAAACTAACTATACGTCGTGATGCTGCTAACGCAGCTGCCACTTGGAAGCGAGTCTTCTTGTGCCGACAATTCCAAGAATCATGAGTTCTACAACATAAGGCAAGGTCGAGGAAGGCATGCCGCGTGGCGGCAGCCAGTGGCAAGGGCTTGATAATAGTCCGACGAAGCAGAGAATTGTATCCTGCTTCTCTCTCTTGAAATCGCCCTCTGTCTACGTGCTCCACAAGCCCGCCCCGCCCCGCTTCCCGCCCACGGCCTGCCGAAGGCTAGCTGCCCCGGAGATACCAGAGGACAAAGGCGTCTAGCAGGCGGGGAGGTTGAACAAGCTCAAAACCTACAGAAAGGCGAGCCTCGAGCCTCTACAAGCTTGAGTGGCCTTGCTCCTGTTTGAAAAAGACAGGTCCGAGCTGGACTTTTGAGAGTACGGAAATGGGCTTCAGGCAAGAACCGGTTGTAGAGCACCTAAGCGAAACATGCAGTCTGGTCTGGAGGAAGCATCGCCAATTTCACCAAGCAGACTTCCGAAACTGGACGCTAGGGGGCTACTGTGGCTTCTAGTCTCACAGCTGGAACAATCATGACAATCGGGACGAGGCGTCTGAGTAGCGAATCGGTCCATGAGCGGAGCTATGCCGTTACAACAGGGCTGCCTCCGCTCGTGATTCAAGGTCCGCTGCACCAAGTCAGAAGACTTGTCTGGGGTACTTTACCGAGATGGGTTGCGATGTGTTGAAGCCGAGGGAAAGCCACGGTGCCTGTTGTGGCCGGGACTGACTCGACCAGCCGGAGGACAAAGTGACCTTGGGAGCGCCATTGATTTGCAGAATTCTGTCGCCAGCAGTTCTGGCATCGAGATCTCGAGGGACTTCAGAAATTTGGCCGAATGCTTGGGGGAGTTTACGGCCAGGCGCTCGGACTTCTGGACTATTGGGGCTTCCGTCGTGAGAGTCGGGGGCGGCTCCATCACTGCGAGGTTCGTCGCCCAAATTCCCAACACTCTAAACTCATTCGGCATGGCACTGTAAGTTCCACAAACATCGACATTCAAAACAAGAGGGCCTCTGCGAAAAAAACTGGAACCATTGAGACGCTGGCATGTGGTTCAAAAGTTGATCTGGACACTTGCAGGCATGATGCGGGCGTATAGGTTCTAAGTCATGTGAAGTTAACAGAACGTGCCTCATCCCGTCGTGGGGACCCATGCTTCGGTGCAGGGACTCCGGTTGAGGACAAACTGTGAACATGGCCCATCCTCCATTAATGTCGAATGTGGGCGGCCATGCGAGTCACCATCGAGCGCGGGCTCTTCTGCGGTGTCGGGGTTGCCAGAAGCTGCTGTTGCGCTCCGCCTCCCATGTAGGAGTTTAGCAGGTTTAGCAGCAAGAGTGCAAACACTCCAACCCTTATCAAAGAGACCCCGAAAAAAGTTTGAACCTAAGACACCCCATGTGTCGTCGCAACGACTCACACATTCACGTTCCTAAACCTAGAAGGCTTGACAACCACAGAAGTTTGCCTCTCCGGTACATGATGTTATAAACCTTTGAACTCTACAGAATCCCGGACTCGAGACTTCTCCCCCCGGATAGGCGCACCGCTCTTCGGCGACAGCATCGGTGGCCCCGTCAGGGAGGTGACGCTGCAGTAGCTGTTGCGGCTGTTGCGACTTTGCTGGCTGTGGTGGGTGGCGTAGGTGTCATGGCTCATGGTGGCCAGCTCCTCGTCGCGCTTGCTCGCCGAGTGCTGGCACCCCATGGCTGCCGTTCCTGTTGAAACAGGCCGACTAGTGCCCCTAAGCCTTCATGCTGGAGGGCACCAGTGCCTTCGAGCCCAAAGCCACATGTGGGGGGCACGGTCCTGACGACTCTATCGAACCCCAAAGCAGGGACTCAGCCTCGCGCCCCCTACACCCACCTCACTGGCACACTGATTGCACATCTAAACACCTAGACCTAGACTCCTGGACTCTTAAGAGCATTAGATCATTAGCGTCAGTCTACAGACAACAAATAAAAGAAACCAAGATCATTGGCATCTGACTCCGAGAACTTGGGGTGCCCAAAACATGCTCGAAATGAACTCGGTACGACAATGGTAAACAGGTAAGGCGCTTCAAAGTTACGGTACCCCCCTACCACACTGATCCAGGATAGTTCTGAATCCTCCTTGCTGTCGGCTACAACACGGCACGCGAATGCACAAGCAGGATAGGCACCTTGGCTGAAAGGTCGCTGGCCCAGGCCACAAATGGCCAAAAACAACAGACCCACGGACCCAAAAGGTAGGTCAACATCAAACCTGAGAACTATTAAACTGGCTGCTCCTGCCGAGGAGGTGACCACCTACATCTGTCTACTCCTGTGCTCTCGGCCTTTAGTTGGGAGTTCCAAGCTCGAAATCTCGCTGGGACCCGCTTCGGACAGTAAACCACTGCAGGCAAGTCGCAGCACGATAGTCCTGACGCGGCATTGCCAGTCAACTGGCTCTTCTCGCAATCCACGACCCTTCAAAATCCCCCGGCAGCTTCGGGAACCGCAAGCTAGATCCTACAGGAATTTCTTCGGGGTGCATCCAGGGAAAGACGAAAACCTCCGATGCGACGAGCGGGGGCACACCCGGCAATTGCCGAATATCCCCAAAAAGCGTCCAAGCAACCAAATCTATGACATGTACTCCTCCTCGTACCCCTCATCTAGCCCGGTATGAACCGCAACCCCCCCTTGTTCTTCCGATTTCTGGAGGTCCGAGCAGAGCCAGGCCCAGGACCCGGAAGGCCCAGGAGGATCGCCGATACTCGGGGCCTCGAATGGCTGCCGAAAGGCTGCTGGGGCCCAGGGCCAGGGCCTAGGACCTTTTTGGGGGAATCAGAGTGGGTATTCTTGAAGAGCGATGCTCATCATGTTGCTAAGAATGCTGCGAAAGCACGTGTCCTGTGGCTCACTGCAGCGTATTCCTGCCACGTGTTTCCTGAAGCCCTTGTGAATGAGCCTCGAAATTTCAGAAAATGCCCCGAAAACGAAATGCTTGATGCGAGTAAGAAACACTCCAGCTGTGCGTTTTTAGGGTCGTTTGTGGAGGGGCTATTACTCGGACTAGGACTAAGACGTCTTCATTATCCCCTGCGGAATTTGATGCGTCGAATCTACATCATGGCAACTCCGAAAAACCTGATCTCGAGCCCCGACAACATACACTGTCGTCATGAAGCAGTCGTCATGAAGCAGTACATGGGTCGAACATGTAACAAAACGAGTCACACGAGCGGCTTCGCAATAGCAGCACACAACAGGATGTGACCACGAATAACCACCACGATGGCAACAGTCGCGCTAGACTTTCGACTAGCAGGGCAAGGCAGTACAACACTGTTATGACTCATGACTATGTCGCAGATCCTCGCCGTCCTCCTCCTGCTCGTCGTGCGGGGTCGCCGTCAACGTCGCCGTTTGCAGTCGTTGTAATCGTCGTCGTCATGGTCGTCCTCGTCGTTCCTTGTCGCCGTCGTACACGTAATCGCCGTCCATATTCCATACTGGCGGTGGTGGTGGTGGTGGTGGTGGTGGTGGTGGTGGTGGTGGTGGTGGTCGGCGGCAGCGGTGGCGGTGGCAGTGGCAGAGGTGCCGGTGCCGGTGCCTAGTAATAGCACTGGTATTGGCAGTAACGTTGTGGTACTAGCAGAAGAATAACAGCAACAGAGGCTTGGCCTGGCAGCGGCAACAGCGCAAGCACCGCCAAGGGCAGTTGAGCGAGGCCACAGCAGCCTGAGCGGGTGCCCACGACGACCGCACGGGGCTTGGACATGTCAGATGCCGCTCAGTCGGAGAAAACATGTTCCAACTTAGTTAGACTTAGTTCCTGGATGTAACATCGCCGAGATAACATGACATGCTGCGTGAAAGTGGCTCCGACATTGCTGCAACATTATGTTGCGGGTCAGGTCTGGCAGCAACCTGTTCAGCCTCTATCCATCTGACAAACCCCAGCAGTGACTGCCTGAAGATTCCCTGACTCCCGCATCCTGCCACCTTCGACATAAAGACAATCTGCCGACGGCAGCGAAACCGACATGTGTTCTCTTCCGGGGCACAGCACAGCAGTGCCGAGCGCCGCGCAGACAGGCGTAGAGAGGCCATGGGTCAGTATCGAAATGCGGAACACATAGAAATGGCCATGCGTCGGCCCATGGAGCAAAAGTTGTTGGTCCTTCGGCCTTATCTCGGCGTTCCAATAGACTTCCGGGTCGGGATATTCACGCGTGCATGCAAGGCCTAGCTCCAGAATATAGCGCGCAGGAATATCAAGGCCTCGGGCTGCGCAGGATGACTTCGACTTCACCCTGATGGAAATGAAGTATCCGTCAAGCAAGAGATCACCATAAGTCTGGATGGCTGTGCCTCCAAGCGAGCCCGAAGCTACCAGTCACACTCAATGCAGCACGGAACACTTCCGAGCATGCTGTAATACAAGCTACTGTGGCATCACACAAAACAAAAGAGTCGGCCATGTGCTGTCTGTGGTGTTTCGAGATACAGACACACACACATATACATGCATACATGCATACACGCAAACATACATACATGAATGCAAACATACATTCACACATACATGCAAGCATACATACATGCAAACATGCATACATGCAAACATGCATGCATACCTACATAAATACATGCATCATACATACGTACATACATACATACATGAAGACATGCATATAATGCATATACATGCGTACATTCATACAAACCCAGAATGTGAACTGCAAAGTGCAACTTGCAGCACGGGTTGCGGTGTTCGGTGCACAGCCCCGCGGACACCATGAACTCCAATACCTTAGCTGCAGGCCGCAGGAACCCCATAAATTGTGTCACCCAAAAGGAGGTCACAGCGATGTTAGGGCTGATGGAATGAAAATGACTGAAACAGAGAAGACAAAACGACATGCAGCAGCAGAGGGCTCTTCGGAATGTGAGCTTGGAGTTGGAGCTTCTATCTGCTTCTAGTCGTCATGTACACATGAGAACAACAGCCCGGCATCGCTGGAGGCTTGTTAGCAGTGTAATCACGCACGGCTTTTTGCGACTGCTGAGGCTCACGTGGCGAAACGTGCAGGGAAGCGAGATGTTGCGAGGCAAGAGTGAACACCATGAGTCAAGTTTTCCACAGACCGGCCCCTCTGCACTAACGCCTTCGAGACTGTCACGAGCACGCTCTTCGTGCTCAAAGCGCCAATTCAGAAGTTGCCTGTTGTTGCGCCCTTGTCCCCACAAACTTCGGACCCACCTGTGCCTGATGCGAATCAGACTATGCACAAAGATTCCATAAACCTCGACGATCGACTTCGGTCTCAACACTTTACGGTGAAACTGCTACTCCGGAGGCAGTCCGACTCTCGACATTCAGACATACCGGGCCGCGTTGGGAACCCTCAGAGTGCACCTTCCATGCGCCGAACGGATCAACGCCATAATCTGAACCACCGCCTACACGAAGTAGATTGAAACAGGTTCCGAAACTGCGCTTCAATCTATAGCACTTCGGCACACGTCCATGGAAGCAACGGACCTAATCGCATGGGTGCGCTCCATGTCTTCGTGGAGGGGTCGAAGCACTCAAAGGTTTCCAGGGGCACCTGGTGAACCGAAGTGGCGTGTTTTGATTAAGAAGCAGCAATGGGGTCCTGCCTTGCCATCGATGCCCCCTGCAACATAAAGCTTTCCGTTGAGCACGAAAGACGTGTGCGCGATTCGCGGGAAGGCCATGGGTGGAAGCTCCTGCCAGGAGAAACTCGAAAAGCAATTTATCACAGACCGAAAGACTATGCTGACTCAGCTGCACATAGCTGCACCTGCCAGGTTTGCCGCTTCACATCAAAGACCTGCACGGTGTTCCGATGCAGTTCGCACATTCCAGACAGAGCTGCGATGAGCTGATTCATGTCTGCAGGCTGATTCCTTCGAAACGCGTGGCTTCTGCGGTGTACTTTATGGCCTCCCCAGATTGCAGCACAGCATCCCCATCAGAGCCACCGGTGACCTTTGCTGCTTCTAAACTCAATAAAGCACATGCGCTCTGAAAAGACAGAGCCCAAAAGCAGGCTCTGTAGCTATGCCTGCATAAGTGCCGCAGCCCATGCTCCACATCAGCCAGCAACATTTGCAACATATCTGACTGAAGAAGTCATCAGTTTTCACTGTATGACTCACATGGTGGCCCAAACTAACAGCCAACAGCCCTTAAGCCTGAAACCGTCTCTCTAAAAAAGCAGATGCCCAGCCACATAGATGAAGTTGGCGCCGCTCTCATCCTGCACGCAAGCTTCGAAATCTGACAAACTGTCACAAGGCCCGGTGACACTTTTCAGAACACGGTTCTTCCCAGGCTGCCTCCATCAGGCAAGCTGCTGCCCCGATGCGTCCCGTGGACATCGGAGGAGCCTCAAGCCACCTGACCAAAGAGCGACTATAAAATGTGCTTTTGAACGAAGATCAAGTCTCGAGGCCCCTGGACAAGTAGTTTCCGAGTGATCCCCGACAAAGCTAGCATGACTCTAAGCTTCTCGATCCTTCCCCGAAGCCGTGTCAGCTGAAGATCCTCCAACCAAGGCAAGGCAACAATCTTCGCGGGCCTCTCACAGTAGAGCTCGAAGGCCTCGGACGGACACACGCGGAATGGAGTCGCCACCAAGATGGAGCTTTGGGTTTGGGCCTGCGGTGATGTTAGTGCTAGCTTGGGCTCGCACTCGACTTGACAAAGTGTGACGGTTCGAAGGCAACCCCTTGTCAATCCTATCTGTCCACCCGCTGCCTCCGAGATGCCTCGCCGCATCCACTCGACTACTGGGACCAGTAGCACTAGCAACCTTCCCTGAAATACAATCGAGGAGCCTCCACAGAGCTGTGCGCGCGAGGACGGTCCACCTTCACCTGCCGCTGCTGACCTTCACATCGTCAGATTCCCGCGGGATGGGCTGAAAACTGTGACCACGTTACCCATGCACCGCGCAAGGATTGATTCCAGTGCACACGGAAGGTCCTTCGAAGTGCGACTTGGTTAAACTGACAAGAACGCTTCAATCACGGTCGGATGTTGCATGTTGCCATCAAGCCCCAGACATAACTGTAGTTAGAGCATGCTAGTGCAAGCTTGCTTCCCAGTTCTCATTCCGGAGCAACACAAGCCCTGCACCTCCGATTGCATAGATGCAATTCTGGACAGCCACCTAAGACGAGGCATTGCGGCGCTGTCCTTGCTACTGGTCAAAGGAAGCCTCTGCACCAGCCTTGCACTGGAAACCCCGTCTCACTGCAGTACAGCCACCATGCAGTGATACGATCGGGGCACGTTCATAGGATCTATGTGCGAACTCCAGCTGTTGCTCCTGCCAGATCTTGACAGGCCCGCCCGTTCTATGCAAGGCAGTAGTAGTCCCAGCGCCGCATGCCCGCCCGTAGCGAGACTTGAACCCTGGCCCTGGCCCCGCCATGGCCCCGGTTTCTGAAGCAACCCAGCCTGGGATCGTAGATCTCCGCCGCGGATAGGTCACGGATGCCGTCGAACCCCCCGGCCACATAGATGCGGCCATCTGCCACTGCGGCAGCATGCATGGTCCGCCTCGGCCGTGTTCAGGCGAGGCACACAAACGATGTTGCAACATAGGGTACGCAAAACCTATTGCGCATTACGGTCGCCAGTCAAGGCTCTTGATGTTCATCGGCGGCTTTGTGAACCACTGATCCCACTGTCCGGCCTTGGAAAAGGCACTTCGTACGAAAAGTCGCCGCCAAGCCGTGTCGCCCAGCCTTGGGCTCGAAGACCTCAAAGGTGTTCAGCGTACGTCCGTCGGCACTGCCTCTGCTTCGCGCAGTAGACACGGGCAGCCGACAAAGTAGGCTTCTATGGCCTCCCATCACGTAGATTTTCCCATCGAGCTCGGACGCAGAGGCATATGTGCGTCTGGCCAGCATCGGCGGCAGCTCCTGGAGAACCCATCCGACCCATCTCATCTCGCCAACGTAGCAACTTTCAAGCCCGGTGCCTTCCACTCGCCCCGGTCTTCGGGGTGCTCGGAGGGACGGAAAGACTCCACGACTTTCAGCCTCGCAGTCAAGATGCGGCAGCTTTCAAAGGGACTTGAGCGTTCCGCAAGCCCCACAACGTCTATCAAGGCTTCATAGGCTTCTTCTCAAGGCTCTACGGCTAGAGCCACGATCCTGAAGGCTTGCAGCATGAGCGCAACGTGAACCATAGACTCGACAGCTCGGAGCAGACTCCGCAGAATCCCAGAACAGTCATGGCACAAGCAACCGGGAGGACCCCGAAACCAAAACACGAACGATGCTGGCAGAAACTCCCCGGGCCAAGAAACGGCATCTCGCCGTCGTGACCACCGAACAAGTACGCCTACAAGGCAGTCGCTGAGTCGCTGGATGCCAAGAGCCTCAATCCTCAGAAACTGCCCAATGCCTGCCTCCCCATCCAAGACACTGCTGGCAATGCCACCACGCCCCAACACGTCGGAGATCAGCCGCTTTGCCAGCGCCATTGCAGAAACGGAAGGCTTAGCTACAAAGTTTCTACTATCCGCCAGTGGTGATACTTGCAAGGCTTGGCAGTGTGTGCTGCCGCTGGTGCTTCTTGGCGTTGCTTCTGAGCAGTTGGCATGGGCACCTGGTGAGACCGAACGTTTTCATTGAATGCCACGGGGAGGAGGTTGAGTGAGCAGCTGCACTCGTGCAAATAACGCATAAGAGTCGATCCTGCACCTGCGCAGAGGCAGACTAGCGAGGCAAGCTTCTGCATGAACTGCTGCAACGGGGCGATGTACGATTTCCATCGAAAGCCAGAGCAACCTCGGCTTCGCGAAAACAAGCCGAAAAGCTCCCAAGGTGCTACATGCGCCTCTTTGCAACCTGACGGCTGTCCGTCCAGACTCTGCCTCCTCGGAGGACCCGTAAAGCTCACCCGTCCAGCGGCCTCGCAAAAGGATGGGCCAGCTGAACAAAGCCCCACAAAACAATCCGAACATCCGCCCACTCAGGCTTTCGAAGCTCCGGTGAAAGCTCAGCGGATACTTATCACATGACCTGTGACGGTGAAACCCACGAGCTTGGATCTTGAACAAATTCCTCAAATTTCCGGAATGGTCAAACGAGCGAAACCCTACTTTCATCAACTGTCTACTGAGTGAGTCTACTGCTCCCTGCCGACAGCCGGTGAGCTTATCGAGAAACCAAACAAGGTAGTCTCGGCAACGGGAAGCAAAAAACCGGCAAGTGTAACAGAAACCAAGCAAAACCTAAAAGTTGAATCGATCCGAAGCCCCGAGCCCAAAGCCCTTCCGGCCCAAGGACAGGCCCACTGTACGGTCTTGCTTTGGCATGGTTTTTGACTGCTTCATACATTCACAACTTCGGGAGTTGAGCCCATCTGCGAAGCCATAGACTTTGGCTTTCCCCCCCTGCAGCACACCAGGTCTGGGCTCTCTCTCTCTCTCTCTCTCTCTCGCTCGCTCTATCTTCTTCTGGGATCACTCTTTCTTTCGCCAGGGTTATGATGTATGGGACACTCTCTCTCTCTCTCTCGTTCTCTTCTTCTCCCAGGCATGGGGGGCGGGTCACGCCCCCCAGACAATTTGCCCACCCGCATTCGTTTGCAGGTCTTTGGGGGGGCCAGACTGAAACGCCTTACAGACCTAATGATCGACAAATGAATTCAGCCATCCTCATCTTGTGAGTTTCATCATGCACATCTCTCCAGGGATGTATCCACACGACATGCACCTCCGCAAGAAATGGTAACATGCAGCAAGCACCGCATGTCTCTCAGGTCAAGAGATTCAGCTGCGAAGTTGTTGGTTTAGCGGTTGGACAGTAAACCGGTCGCTCAGACCTGGTTTCTGTGTCGCACTCTCCTGGTTTCCCGCTGCGTCCGAAGACCAGTTTCGTTTACTGGCCGGCTGCTACAAACTTTCGTTTTCTGCAATGTCGTGAACTGCGCCCTCCCGGCCTCCTTGGCAATCTGCGTTGTCGTAGAAATTGGCTTCGAACACTCTCCAGGCTCCTACCACTATGGCTTTCTCGAAAGCCTTAAACCATGCACTCGTTCTCCTCCCCGCTGTCCTGGAAGGAAATCTGCGTTCAGCAAGCGGTACGCTGTCCGCGCACCTGGTTGCAATCTAGGAGCTTGCGCATCGAAACCAGGGAGCACTGTTGAGTCAGTCTGACTACGACAAATTTCAAGCTTCAGACGAAAGCTGCACCTTGTGGCGTGGAACGGCAGCTTGCAGCGTCGGCACTCAGAACTCCAAGCGAACATCTGCCGTCCAGCCATACAAAGTGCACGGTGCATGAAGGGTGCGAGTTTGGCAAGTACTTGGGTCTTGTTGCAACCGAACAGACATTCTGGGGTGCCTTGCTGATAGACAGTGACGGCTCGGGACGGCATATCAGAATCTTTACATGGCAGTAAAACAGGACGAGTCCTGTCATGTCCAAGCACACTCGAACACCGGAACACTGCAGTAAACCACATCACCTCCGACTTGGCCTGAGATGGATGTAGCCCTCGAGCCCTTCCTTCAGCGTCCTGTCACGAGACCCGAAACTCTTCCACCTCAATCCTCGCCACATGACCACTGCCAAACTGTAGGGCCCAGCAGTTTGCAGTGCAATGTGAAGGCTCAGTGCCAACAACAAATTTCCACAGCTCAAACCTGGAACTCAAGGCAGTGTGATCAAGCTCCATTCCTGCCTGCAAGGCAGGAACTCTTCCTTGCCATGGGCAAGTCCTGACCAGTCTTTACGAGTAGGTTTGGAATTTCCCCTCTAACCATCAAGGAACTTTCTTCCCTGAAGGATCGGCTCCAGAATTAGTTTAGGTAGCTTTGCTGTGTTTTTCGTGTGTTTTTTGTTTTCCTTTCTTTCAAGCAAACTCTAGCTAACTTGGAAGATCCACACCACGGGTGCCCCATCATTTGTGGCTTTTGCTTTGGTGTCACGGGCCTTCTTTCGGTTTCGGCCTGGGTTTAGTCCTTGCAGAGTTTGCTTCTGCGTCGAGCTAGTTGGTTTGTGCGTCAAGCTGTTGGGGGATTATACTTTTCAGGGTCTGCGTGTGCGTCAAGCTAGTGGGGGGGGTTTGTGCGTCAAGCTATTTGGGGATTCTGGTCTTCAGGGTTTGTTTGTTTGTTCCTCAAGCTATTGGGGGATTCTACTTCTCAGGGTTCGCCTGTGCTTCAAACTTTTGGGGGATTCTAGATTTCGGCGTTTGTATTTGGAGGATTATAGTTTTAGGGTTTGCCTGTGCGTGAAGCCATTGTGGGACGCTACTCTTAAGGATTTGCCTGCGCATCAAGCTATTGGGAGATGTTATTGCTGCTGGGCTGGTGCTTGTCGTGCTGCTGCTGCCCCTGTTGCTGGTGGTGCTGCTTGTCGTGCCACCTCTGCTGCTGCTGCTGCTGCTGGTGCTGCTGGTGCTCATATATCTTAAACCTCCCATTCATTGGCGATTCGGGATCATCATATATCCGAAACACACCCTTCAAGTGGCGATTCCGTTAGCAGCATATATCTTAGACTGCCCTCTCATTTGGCGATTCCGGCTCAACAAAAAATCTTGAACACGCCCTTTCATTTGGCGATTCCGGCTCAACATATATCTTAAACACGCCCTCTCATTTGGCGACTCCCGTTCAACATTCATCCTAATCACGCCCCCTCATTTGGCGATTCACGCCCCATCATGTGGCGATTCCGGTGCATCATATATCTTAATCTGCCCTGTCATTTATATGTTTGCCAGGATAACCTCGATTTTCCGATATTTCAATCAGCGGCGCAGCAAACACAATGATCGCATGATGGGTTTCAATAAACCGCTGCTTGAAACAGGGGGGGTGGGCCCCCCATGGCAATTTGGATGCTCACACGATAGGATTGAAAAACACTCACAAGCTTTGAAGCAAGCTTGCACGGCTAAAAATAGTGGTGGAGTTGGGGGGGCAGCCCCCCCGATGCAAACAGAATGCTCGCATTATGGGTTTCAAACAAGACTCATAGGCTTTGAAGCAAGCTTGCACGGCTCACAAGCGCGGGGGTGGTGGGGTGGGGGGGCGCAGCCCCACCCCATTTGCAAACACAATGCTTGCATGATGGGTTTCAAACAGAATCAGATGCTTTAAGGCGACCTTGCTCGGCTTGAACAACCGGGGGGGGGGGCGGGTTGAGGGAGGTGCGCCCCACCCCCATGTGCAAACACAGGCGGGTCCGGATCATCTTTGTCTTAGTCTTAATCAGACCCCTCATTTGGCGATTGCGGTTCATCATATATCTTAAACACGCCCCCCCTCATTTGGCGATTCCGGTTTCATCATATATCCTAAGCACGCCCCCTCATTTGGCTTTTCCGGATCAACATACATCCGAAGCACCCCCCGTCATTTGGCGATTCCGGATAATCATATTTCTGAAACACGCCCGTTCAATTGGCGATTCCGTATCACCATGTATCTTAAACTACCCTCTCATTTGGCGATTCCGGCTCAACATATATCGTAAACACGCCCTCGCATTTGGCGATTCGGGTTCAACATACATCCTAATCACACCCCCTCATTTGGCGACTCACGCCCCATCAGTTGGCGATTCCAATTCATCATACATCTTAAACTGCCCTCTCGCTTGGCGATTCCGATTCATCATATGTCGTAAACACACCGCCTCATTTAACGATCACACACACACACCCTCATTTGGCGAAAACCAATTGAAATTCAGAACACAACACACAACACGAACAACTGAAACCAATTTGAGGCTCCGATTCATCATAGCATCATCATAACCAAGGGACCAAGAAACCAGAGGACTAGGGCAGCGCAGGACCCGGAGACCACGGGCCACGGGAGCGGGGCAGCCGCGGGACCAGAGGACCAGCGACCAAGAGACCAGGGGACCAAGGGACCGGAGGACCAGAGAAAAAGGCTTGGCCGCACCTTTCAGGCAAGGGTTGGCCACACCTTAGAAGAAAACATGGCCCGTGACTCATGACACACACGCACACAAAAGCAAAAAATAATACCCACAAAAACCATAAAAAAATACCTAAAAAAATGATTCCGTGACAAAAATATGAAAACCATTCATGCGTGGCAGCAGGCGGTAGTGCCTTTGTCGATCGCTGCTGGAAGGAGTTCGGCACTGTCACCGATCCTGGCCGTTCGGGCCCACGTGAAATCCACTGAGACATGGCCGAAACACAAACCCTCCCTGCCTCGCAGGGGCGCGCTGACCCGCCAGGCACCCCTTCGCCTCCGTCAATTATCGATTGCTGACGCTGCAGCCAAGCACTTGGGGCAGCCGCTTAAGCCATGCGCTGTCTTGCTTCCGCTCCAGCAGACGAGGTTTCGAATTGCTCACTATGCCCCCCTCAAATTGCTCGACCCTTGTCCTCCTTCAGTCAATTATCGGCGGTGCCAGTGCCGGACCCCCACAAAATGACTGCTGGCCTTTGGGCTGCCAACGCATCCCTCAATCCTCCCACCCGATAACGGCTTTCCACATTGACGAAGCGGCCTGGCACCGGATCGTCGGCACCGGCTGCGAGCCGAAGCAGGAGACACGGATGAAGCCTTCCTTACGTATCAAGGTCTCCGCCCATGCTCACTCCGTTGCACGTAATACCGACATGTCGAAAAGAGTCTCCAGGGACATTCAAGACGACTCGCCGAATCTCCCGAGCATCAGCCGGTGACAGACTGAGTCGCAGCAGAACTGAAGCACATTACCACAGACTAGTACTGATAGTGATGCCCACATGACTGATACGGCTGTTGCTACATCGAAACCTTGTCATGTCAACCTTCGACAAGGCGACTGCGCACAAGTAAAACACCTGAACAAATGTGCAGTGCAGCATCAAATCCTGCCCGGAGTGATTCACAGGACCTGGCTGAGAGGCTGTCGGATAGGATTCCGGGAAAGGACCTGTGCCGACATTCCTGTCACTTGACAGACTAGACCGTTCGGAACGGAAACCAAACGTTTGCTCTACCTGCACGGCATGCGGCAGCTTTGCATAGCATAAACGTGTCTGCAGCAAAACACCAGCATACAACAGCTGCAGGCTTGACTCTGACCATCTTACCCGAAGAAACTATGGCACCGGCAGTTATCGGCAGTTCAGTACGCTAACTCAGTTTTTTAAATCCGTTTATTGCACCTTGATGAAGCTTTAACAGAGTTGGGGGAAGCTTGGCGAGTTTGACATGACCCACACTCAGCAGGTTTCACGTTTACATCTTTGAAGGCCTCTGAAAGCTGTCTCCTTCCAACAGGGCAGGCACTGCGAGATGTACCTGGGCGCATCTCAGCCAACTGGGCGTTCAAACAAATTCCAGCGCGGTTGTTTTCTGAGGACGCCTCCACTACCAGGCTAATGCACGGTTGGCAGCTTTAGCAGTCTGGTTCGTCTGGCTTGGTTGCATAGTAAAACCAGCATTTTTCAATCAGCTTCGCCGCCTGTTGTGCTTGCACCCTTGGCTGCTTGCTGCTGCCTACCTGAAAAGTTCAGTTCTCCTGTCAGATGAATTTTTTCAAACGGCAGCAAACGAAAAACACACTACCAGCACAGCCTGCTTATCACTAAAAGCCGGTTTCACGGACCAAGGTCTGAGTATGTCTGAGTGCATGACGGTCAGACCCCCGACGACAGCGGATACTTCAGCAGCCGGGCAATTCGCAGCCACCTCGGTTTATCGAAATTCAACACAGACTGTCTTGCCTTCCAGGCCAACCCGACGAAAACTTCCAACCAGCGGACAACAACTCGCAAGCATTGACACGGCGGAGCCAAACACGTCACAGGGGTGTCGGCAACGAATGCAAGGAGGACAGGAAAACTTGGCGCCGAGCTGTAACTGTGCAAACTGCTAGCGCTGTGGCGAGATGCCGCCTGGCCAGGCCAAAGAGCGACACGAAACGTAAAAACACGACTTCGAAAAGACTGAATAGAACTCGCCTTCCGCAACTCATTCCATGGTTTCCGCGCAAATTCTTGAGCGAGCAATGGGCCGGCCGGGAGGTTGCAGTATGTAAACAATCAACTTCTGAGATTCTGCCTGATGGCTGAGCCTGAAGCACGCTGCATCAGTTTCTTTTCCGCCGATGGACCGAAGCTTCAGTTCCGAAACTTCCTCTACGGGACGAGGTCAGCTTTTGCACATGCCGGTTACAAGCAGCCTTTCAGGTCGTGATGCTGTTATTATAACACTGCACGCATAAAACTGGGTCGCTTCCACAATCTCAATACGACAAAGAATCACAACGATGCTACGCGGAATGGGCACATTTCATGCCAGCATGATCCAGGGTGCGTGTGGGAGCTCAGTGCTCGCGCGGAGCTCCATGGGCGATGTCCTCGGTTTGGCCGGAACATCGGCCAACGAACAGGATGCTGGACGATTCCTGGATGCGGGACTATAAAGTCCATTGAAATGTTGACAAGGATCTTCTTTGAGCATCTTCGCTTTCCTTAGTTGAAGAAAGCTGAGCCAACTTTGGGAACGAACCAACTCAACATGCCCGACGATGGACGAACATCGAACAAATCAGCTCTGTCGCTTCCACCTTCTTGACGAAAAGCTGAAAACTTCAATGCGGCGGTGACTTGTGCGACTGAGATTGCACTCCTCGTAGATAATCATTCATTCATAACGCGCATGCATGGCGCCGACCCGTTCATGATCTGGTGTCCGCTCTTAACCTTTCCGTTGTGCACCATTATCTTTTGCCCGGCATGTTCATCTCTCTGCTAATGATGTTGTTGTGGTCGATGTGATAGTGCTTGTTGCTCTTGACGTTTTCTATTCTTGGGTTACTATCATTGCTGTTGCACTTGTGCTGCTCCGGTTTGTGCCTGGGATGCCGTTGCCACTGTTGTCGCCATTGTATTGCCAACCTACTGCTACTGTTATTGCTCGTGCTGGTGCTAGCAGTACTGCTCTGCTCACATTACTGGCAGTGTCGGCGTAAAACACGGATTTCGACATTGCAGTTGTTGGTGATGGTTTCAGTCAGGTTCCAAGCACTGCTGTGCTGTTACTGGCACATGATCTTCATACATCTTGTGATAAGGGGCTGCGCCAGCATCCAGCCATTCTGCACCTCCAGATAGGCCGCGGTAATGGCAAAAGTGCTGGTCCTTTGCTGAATTCGTCGTGTATCCCCACGACTGCTTGCATGTCAACATGCATCTGTTATGGTTGCGATTGGCCTGGACACATCTACACAAATCCCCCCAACCGTTGTCCATACCGAGCAACAAGAACGTCAAAGGAGTCGACAACATCGAAAAGAATCTGGCCTCCTGGGCCGTCATCGAATGGTCCTGCACAATAGGACCGGCACTGATATGTGTCGTCTGGGAATCATCACACGACGTGAAAACTAGCTAAAGTACTGCTAAAACCCGATGCGACCTTTGCGAGGGCTTTCTTCATGGCGAGCGCATCTTCATTCGCATGCTGTGCATGGTGTGCCGCCTGCGTTCAAGTTACAAGATGGCTTCCGTCCTGATCCGAGTCACTCTTCGCAACCACCGAGCCTCCTCCACAGTGTAGTTGAACGATGTGCGGGGAGCGCACAGGAAGTTGTTGGACTTGACCTTCGATGTCTGCATCGGCCAGTTGGCATCCTGCAAAGTGTTCCGGCTGCAAGCGACTTTTTGCGATTTCACATCTATTGGACGTGCACAGATGCAGAAGGGCGACGGAATTAAAAAATTGTCATCGCAGTCGTTGGAGTTAAGCGAACATCATCCGGGGGGACAACCAGCGCCGTGAAGTTGATGAACAGCAGAGACGGGAGAAGGTGGATTCAAACTCGCATGAAGACCCTTGGAGATTCGAGATGATGAAAACTGTGTTATGCTACGCGTTTCGGCGGAAGTTCCTGTCTGCACAAAACCGTCTTGGACGACAACGGCTTGTTGGCGCGACTCAGAACGGCGCGATACGGCGCGATTCGGAATTCTGTTTGGAGCCCTTTCTACGGCTGCAAATGAAACAGGATCCAAGTGCCGGTGCAAACAACACCCTACGGCGGCGGGTCGACGTCCACGGCCATGTTTTGCAGGCGCAACCTCATGCCATCAGGGCATTCTGCTGGCGAGGGGCAGGCCCCGGCGAGGAGGTAGGTCACTGAGGAATTGGCGCCTGGCACGTGGAAGGACAGCATGCTGGCAACGAAGGCTCGGGCGACCGCGAACTACGACAGGCCAGCCCCTCGCTACGTAAACGCTGAGTTGCAGGGACAGCGGGGCGCATGGGGGCCACAGGCACGGCAGCACACGAGCTGGCGGACACGCGTCACATCGAGCCGGTGGCGGGAGCGCGGCTGCACTTTCGAAAGGGGCCCATCTCAGGAGCATTGTCCTCAGCAAGCAGACTCGCTGAGGTGAGCGACAAAGGCATGGGAGAGCGCCGCAATAAATAGCCAGGCGCGGAAAAACGGCGACAGCATGCATGGTGAGCTCAGGTGATCACATGGGCCTGGCAGTGATGCGGCCGATGCGGCGCCGAATTCTGCCGATTTCGGCCGCCAGCACGACGAGGCGTTGCGGGCCTGGCCGGGCAAGTTCCGGGTAGCGCCCTTGTTTGCGCCTCCCCGCCACATCGATGGCGGCGGCGACACCAGGGTCACATTTTTTTTCTACAAGGCACCTTTTCCCGAAGAAGTCTTGCACGCGGTCCCAGCGCACAAACTACGGCATGAAGTCCAGCCGAGAAGTCCACGAAGTCCAGGACCACTCAGCCGGACGGAGGCAGGCGGTTGGGGAGAGATGGGGGAAGTGCCTCGTGCGCAGCACCGAAACGGTCACTCAACTGCAAGGAGTCCCCATCAACGTTGGCAGTGCGCGCGAGGGGGAGAGAAAGGAGACGCGCTGCGAGAGCACGGGCGGCTGCGACAGAAAGCAAGGCAGACCAGCGGCGGGTGACATACTGTCAAATCCAGGTCACATCGCAGCAAAGCACTTTGCCACGCCGACACGCGCCATAAATGACAACGTCGAGCCACACGCTGAGGGACAACCTGTCCTTCAGCAGCTACGGCTTCCCGCCCGATGCGAAGTCAGGCTCTCTCGAGTACGGGAGCGCGCCTGGTCCCGACAGACCGGGGCACACACTCGCCGATGGACATGCAGCTAGCCCTCAAAAGACGCCTTCGCTTGCCGCTGCCTTGGCTGCATCCCGGTGTGGTGGACGGGCTGCAGAGCCGTGGTCGACCAGTGGGAGCGCAGTAAAGCCCGGACGTCTCTGCTGCAAGACCGGGAGCAGCGGCGAGGAAGGCGACCTCGCGTGCCGCATCCCATTCCCGTCCTCGCTCGCGCAGGCTGCCCTATCGTGCTCAGCCGCATACGTGGCCGAGTCGAGCGGCAGCACCGTGCGCAAAAACGTGTTGGGCACGCGGGCTGGCGCAGTACAGCAAAAGCAGCCATGCGCTCTGCATATCACGCAGCTCCTGCAGTTCTCGCAGCAGGCAGCGCTTTCCCTCCAGTCTAGCAACAAGAGTGCGTTGCACGAAATCCGCCTGCCCGATCGGCACGCCCAAAGCAACGAAGCCGCGAGTCGCCGGTTCGCTGTCATTTCCGCACCAGACTCCGGGTCCCAACTCCTCGGAATTAGAACACCGCCGTGAGCACCATCACCTTCCAGAAAAAGCAGCCAAGCTTCCGTGGCTGGCTGGTGGTAAGAAGCCGCCCGGGGGGCCAGAGCCGCCTGCCGCTGCGGCCCTGATGCGGGACTCGCGCGTAGTCCGTATGCAACCGCGGCTGGAACACCAACTAGCAAAGTCCGTGCGGAGCAAAGCTCCTGGAGCGGGCGTGGTGCAAGGTTGCCCGGGCAGCTGGCTGCACCAACAAAGGCTCGTCAATACCACCGCACCGGGTGTCGCGCCTGACGATCGCCGGCGCGCCGGCGCAAGCACGCCACCTACCCCGAGCTCGCTGCAGGAGGCGCGCAGGCCCTGTGCGTGCTCGGCTGCGAGGTGGGTGGGCGGTGGAACACCGACGCAGTACGGCTGGTCAGGCGCCTTGTCGCGATTTGTCGCCCTGCGTGTGCACAGCTCCGTCACCAGGGGCCCGCCGCTGCACGGCCATCGCTGCGGCCCGCGCCCACCGGACCCGATCCTGGGCGCGGAGCAGTGCCACTACTTGACGATCGAGGCGCCCGCCGAACTCCAGGCCGAACATTCGTTCGCAATCGGCGCGCGGAAGCTACGCCCTACTAAAAACAATCGGATATAGGGGACGCAACGCCGTCCGTGAAAGAAAATGGCGAGCATCATGGGGCAGGGAGACGACGTGGAGCTCGGCGTCACGGGCATCTGCCAGTAAGTCACCCACACGCGGCACCGTGCCGTTGCATTCTCGCTGTTGATGCCATCATGGGGGGCAGGGTTCCCACAACTGGAACAAATGCCTGTAAACATACTGTCTGGACGACGTGGCTTACGTGGCGCACCTCGCCGAGCAGACAACGGCATACGCCTGGAAGTGCATGGCGCAGATTGCTGACACACCCTCAGTGGCGGAGCGGGAGGGGGTGGAAGCCTGCAAACTGAACCATCAGTGCCGGACGGCCGCGGTGGAGGCGGTGGCAGCGGTACAACGACACGATTTGGGGAAGGGGCACAAGGCGGGTTCCAACACGAACCTGAGGTACACCGATCCCGGCGAAACGTCCTTCGCTTATCAGGGAGTTTATTTTGTCAATGAATGCGTCAAGCGACATATCAGAATATCTTGTGAAATGTGTTCGGCCATACAGACCTGGATTCACTGAAAAAACCGCATCACCAACAGCTTGTAACTGCGGTGGTTCACTGGCAGCGCGGTGACGGGCATTATCATTACACTCATGCGCACGTCGTGTGGATGGACGGAAGCACGCAGTGCACACAGTGAAACGGCAATTCTGACTGCAATGGAAATAGTGCTGGGTATTCTTGTATTGCAAATTCGAATTAGGCTGGGGGTTCGTGCTACTCTCACGCGTGTCCGCGTGCAGCTGCTCTGGGTTGCCTCAAATCATCGTCCAGTGACCAGAAGTGCGTGATGAATTGGCTGCTGATGCTGATGGATCAATTCGTGTTTCCGTGAAAGCAAAGGTCGCCCAAGCGTTTTTTTTCGTGCACCCTTTTTCCGACCAGTACACGCACGGTCCTTGTGCGCCAAGCATGTTTGGACTGTTCGAGAATGGTAAGGAGCCGTGCATGTTGCTTGTAATACATCGATGTTTGCGGTTTTACAATCGTCTGCACCGAACAACAAGTTGGCGGCAGGTTTGGTACCGAA